TAATTCATTTATGACATTAAAATACTGAATAAATATGACTGCCTGTGGTTTTAACATTGAATAATAATTCTTAAATTTAACAAAAATTACAAAATACTCTTACTGAGATATATAAGTGCTTTTTAGAAAAGAGTTAGTATCATTATGACTTGTTACATGCCTTATCAAATAATTTATAATTTAAAATAATTTATTTTTTTTTAATGAAAACTCATATGTTTAACCTGTGTACAAATTAGATTTTATCTAAAAAATAAAACTTATTTATCAATATTTTAAAGGATGTTAGCATTTTTATATAAGGCCAGGAGGAGAAGTGCGATTCATAAATTACTAAAGATAAAAACCGCGCTTCATTCCCTGTCAAAATATGAAAATGTTAGTATTTTTCAAAATAGTAGTTCAACATTTGTAAATAAGCAGTCCTTTTCTTATTCTTAAATTGTTAAAACATAAATGTTTTCTTTTAAAAAACAATAGTTTATATAATTTTTAGTGGCAAGAAGGAGGAGCAGTACCATATGTAGGATACGATTAACTTCTGAAAAGAAAAAATTATATTATGTTTCATATCATATTTTGCGTGAGTCATAGTTAAACAATCTCTTTGTATAATTAGGATGAGAATCGTGTAGTATTTAAATCAAGAAAGGTTTCTTTTAAATTATGTTTAGTAAATTGTGATAAAATGTTAGTAAAGTACGTTAATTTGTAATAAGGTATTTTATTATATAGGTACCAGAAAATTTTTAATGGAATATGAATTAGTTTATACTTTATTAAAGTTGAAACAACTTTCAGTTAAATTTTTTTTTTATAATAATGTAAGATTACAATAATGTAACGAATAAATTTAATGTATAATTTTTTTTTGTATTTTAGGAAAAATGAATAGAAAATGCATATGTTTGTATTATTGCAGAGCTATTGCAATTTTAGTAGTATTAATACATCATTTTTAAATGCTGTCTTATAATGTAAATTAAAAACATTTTTTTTATTTCATATTTTCATATTTTTATATTTTACATGCATATATAAGCGCATATTTTCCTATAATTTTTGAATAAAAACTTGGCATTAGTTATTGATAATGATGAGTTTTTTTATCAAGAGTTGTTGTATGAATAAAATTAAATCGGTTTTATTGTTTACTGACTTGAATGTTTTTTAAAGTGAATGCCTAAAAACGATTTGTACCTTAAACATTCGTTTATAAAAGTTAATCGAGTAAAACATGTCTGCTAGGAAATGAAAAGTTTAATGGCAAGAAAATAATAAAAGACATATATTTAGAAATATTTTGGTTTTAAGTCGATAAGGAATAAAAACCTTTATTTTCATGGGATTTTCTGTGAATTAAAAAATGAAAAGTATAAATTTATAAATTTTTTGTGGGTGTGTATGTCAATAAAAATGTTTTGCACTTATAATAAAGTAAATTATTGCAGTATCATAATTACATTCAGACATGATTATGTTTTTCTGGTAAAAAATCAAAATAAATAATCTCTACATTCTAATATTTTTATTGGAATTTTCTAGCGATGTATTCTACTTAAAAGTGCTTTCGTTAATATGAATGATTTTTTCCTAAATAATTAAGCCAAACAAATTATATTTGGTCGTTATATTTTTTGAATGGTTTATTTAATATCATAGTTGTGTCAACATAATTGGAGATTTGTTGCTGTTAATGAATTTAAGCATTAGCATTATGATTTTGTATAAGGATCAACGTTTGAAGAAAAGAAAATCCAAGTTGAAAAAATATTCTAGATCATTAAGACTTATTTTAGCTGTGGCATCAATACTAAGTACATAAAATAGAATAGCTATTACATTTTTTATTAAGTGTTCAGAAAAATTCTGAGTATAATAAGTAGTTTTTAAGTGGAATATATTATTTCTTTTATGACTATACAGTTGTACTGACATGTGGCTATATATCATAAAAGGCTTAAATGCTGTATTGTAGTGGTACAAATTTCATTAAGAGTGTAAACACAAATACATACATTATAAAGTTGGTGTCACTTGATAGTAGCAGTCAGCAGTATGATACTGGTTCCAATGGTCATTGTTAATAGTGAATAGTAAACACTTAATAGACATAGCAAAAAGAAAAATAAATACTATCAATATTTGATATATTGGAAAAATAATTTAATTAATTTTGATTTTACTTTTAAAAGTATCAATATACATACTATATACAGTTTTTTTTACAAAAATATTAAAACTCTCAAATTTCACAGTTTTTTGACAAATATAATAATAAATTAGTTTTTATTTATTTATTTATATACAATAAACGGACTATAAAACCTTTTAGCAAAATATAGATAATTGTTTGTAAATTTTCAGCTTGGCTAAGAATGAACAATTTAAATAGCTTATACATACACACTCTGTCTTAATACATTATGCGACATAGAAAAAAAATTAGTATAATCCGTTATACGGTTCACCAGTAACAAAGCTCTGGGGAAAAATGAAGTAGAAGTATAATTGTTTTTATAAATAGGAACACGAAATAAGTTAGACTTCCTTAATCGGTGACTGAGTATATTAAATTCAATAAGCGATAGTAATTCTAGAGAATTAATATGGCAATTTAATAAGTCGTATATGAATTCGACTTATTAATGTAATGAATATTATGGTATTTAAACTTTGAAAATTAACTTAAAAAAAACATACTACTCTATTATGTACAGTTATTATTTTAACCTAAATTACATGTAAGGAATGGTGGTGAGGAAGCAAACGCTGATCATATAGTTTTCATTAAATTATTACCTAACTAAGGTTTGGTTTTTCATTGGTTTTAACGAGTCAAAATCTTTCGCGGTCAGTTGACTAGATTTTGTCATGTGAAATGGTTAAATTCAGTCGAGAATAAAATAATGAATCATCAATTAAATTACCAGTCTTATATTAACAATTTATGCTGAACGAGTTATTCTAATTTTATGAACCCAGGATGTTCTAAGGTTCTGAAAGATAAACTTATTGAAGAAATAAAAAACTTTTTTTTTGTTTAAAATAAAAAATATATATAATTTTCAATAGCCCTGATTTTTACTCATAATTATATTATTAATTTTAAAACATTATGTTATTTACTATCTCATATCTATTAAGAAAATATAAATACTTAAAAATTTATTGGTTGTAATTGTAAAGTAAATTTTTTAATTAAATTTTGAAAAATGAGTTCATAATATGGAATTAGAGGCTGTTATATTACATAGTGATTCCTTAACAACATCTCTCTAATATCATCGAAAATATTAGTAATAATCATTATTTTATTTTTTTAACAATAATGGTTCTTTGTTGAGTTGCATTAAACGAATAAATAGTTGTATGCACCATCTTTTATATCTTAAATTCGTTAAAACTAGCATTTATATATTTGAATAAATTTTGCAATGCGTAGTCAAAGAATCACTCTGTATAATAATAATTATAATGTATGAAATGATATTTGTTTATTTCATATAATTAAAGAAATGGTTTGTTTACATTTTGTTAACAAACTGTAAATAATTATCATTTTCTGACTTGAAAATTAAAAAAGTATGTAAATATTCATATAATGATAAATATAAACATATTAATTGTATTGTGTAGTTAGCGAATGTGTTAAGTATTAATAATTTTTAGCTCTGACGTTAATTTTAATTTATTTTTTAATGCCGAATTATTCTGGTTCAGACGTGAATATGTCAGACTTTTGTGCATATTTGTTTAAAGTTTTCTAATATGATTCATTAAAATAACAATTGATGCATTATGAAATTAAATATAGTTTTGTTAATTAATTAATATTTAAGAAAATTTTGTTGTTTGGTAAAACTATAATCTATCACACCTTATCTTTATCACTTGTGATTCCTGATAATACTGAATCAGTGTGGACATCGTGAACGAACTGGTGGGGAGTCAGTCGATAGTGTATACATGCTGTGGACACGTGTCGTGATTTACAATATTTTAAAGTGGCTTATCTTATATAAGTGTACAAAATATTATTAATATTTTAAATTAATAAATTAATTATACAAAATATTCATTTTTATAAATTGAACATTTTTCAATTGTATATATTTACAGTCAGTTTTTGTTTTTACTCGTTTGCATAAAAAATATATGTATAATAAATAACTTTATGTGTGAAATTGTAGCTGTTGAACATTGAATTTTTATATATGTATTTTTCTAATTACAATTATTTTATTTAAATAAAACCTATAAAATATTTTTAACAATATTAAAAGGTTCCGTTTTACTTGGACATTTTTTATATAACAAAATTACTAAAGGTACTTGGCCTACGTTTTTGTCACAACAATATTTTTGGATGGTCGTAAATGATAATTGTAATATAGTATTGTATATATACAATATGGCCTTTAGTATCTGACTAAAGAAATCTAAAAAAAATAAAAAATTTAATAATATATTTTTATAGCCTAAAGGACTGACTCTAACCATATTTAAATGGAGTGTTGTACATACAAGGATTCCAGTATTTTATGAATTTTCAGAGAATATTATGTATTATTTACATTTTATGGATCTTTCTGGATTTAGATGAGAACTCCACTATGAGCATCCTTTAAAAAAAAAAAAAACACTTAAATGGGACGGGTTGTTTTATATATCATAGATTTGAAAAATCATTTAACTACACTAAAGTAGTACAACTGAAAAATTCAATTCAAAGAAAGAGTAGAATTATTTTTATATTTTTATTTCAAGAAAAAACATACATTTTACAAAACCATAATAATGGTTGTATTTCAACAATGAATATTTTAGATGCTTAAAAGACTATTTCTTGTATTTACGAACTTATTTAAAAAAAAAATTTAAATCATGTATTGTAATTTGACTCTAAGTACTATACGTAAAATTTTTTTATATTAAAAATGTTAACTTTGATTATACATTTTTATTAATATATATTATTTTTTAATGAATTGTTTCAGAGTACACAATTGTTCGAGAAATAAAAATGAATAAAAAAAGGTAAAATGGTTGAAGATTGATTTCCAGACTTTCCATTTCAAGTAATTAGTTAATTATTAATTTATTTTAGATAAAACCTTATTCTTTAAATAAATGGTAGATTTTTTGAAGTCTGTGAAGAAAACCTCTTTTTTTTTAGTATAAAATAAATACAAAATTATCTGTAAATTATTGATTTTTATTTGAAGCCATTTAAATTTAGTATCTGTATTAGTGGTTAAAATAAACCATTCTAAGATTTGTTAATATAGTGTGACTTTATTGACTACACGATTTAACACAAATAACATCGATTATTTAATAATCACAGTTTTATTTTTGTAACTATGTTCACTGTTGTATCTAGTCATTAATAAAATTTAATGTAAATAAGAATGGGAAAATAATTATTTTTAAAATGAAATGAATTATTTCTCAAACCTTATTTAAAATAAATATAGTTAAAAACACTGAAAAACATGCTTTTAAAGCATATCAAACCAAAAAGTTAAAATAATTTTAAAAGTGAGCTTAAAACAGTAATACTAGTATTTTTCGTTCATTATTGTTTTAAGCTTATTTTTATTATCTCCTGATATTAAGTTTTTGTATTCCTGTTATTATTTGATTTACTAATTTCTTTAATAGTTAACATAGAGAACAAAGCAGAGATCTAATGCTAATTCCATTCAAACGAATTAATTTTTAGGAGTAGTAGTTTTAAAATTAAGTCATAAAATTATGTATAAATGGAATATTATTTGAATCAGGACTTTTACTTCTACATCTTCTCAGTGCAGTGACAAGTCGATTCATAGTTAGCGGTGAATTAATCTGAGATAGTAAGTTGATGCTAGGAATTTTCAATGACATTGATGTGGGGTTTGAAATACTTGGATTTTGTATAAAATTTGGGTTTTACTGTAGTATTATTTTAGTCACTTAAATTTTTTTTAAATATTCGTCTAACACAAAACCGATATTAATTGGAACTGTCAATAGCTCTTAGTTTTATACTAGATGGATTATGTAACATTGCGTTGAAGTAATGCTTCACGGCAGTTTCAGGGTGGTTCGCAATTATATCGTGTGGTAGGAAAAAAGAAGAAAGTGTTATGTTTATAGCGTTCTTGTAAACATCGTATCTTGATCACGTAGGAGATTCACTTTCTTTACCTATGCTATTAGTAAATTCTTGCCATGTTGTTGTTTTGCTATTTTTTTTCGCTTAATGTAGACCATTCATGTCCTTCGCCGCAACCATCACTTCCCTCCACCTATCTCTATCCGTGGTTATCTCTTCACCGTTCAGGATTCTCAACATATTTAAGTCTTCATGGACCCTGTCTATCCATCTTTGTCTTTGGCGGCCGAGTGGTCTTTTGCTCTTCGGCTTCCAGCAGGTGACTTGGCCGATTGTCTGCTCTTGACCTCGCCTTACATGCTCGCCCAGCTTATACTTTTGCTTTTCATGTAGCTATTATGTCTGAATCTCTTAACATGCTTATTACCTATTCATTCTTTCTTCGCTCATATTGTCCCGTGTTTTGATTTCTTCTGGATCCAAATATTTGTTGTAACACCTTTATCTCAAACCTTGCTAGGTTTTGCTCGTCTGTTTTGGTTGTGGCCCAGGTTTCACACGCATATAACGCTATCGGGCATACCATTACTTTGTATAGAGTTAGTTTAGATCTGATTGAAACTAGTTTAGATTTTAATATTTTCTTTAATCCGAAGAAGCACTTATTAGCTGAGTTTATTCTGTTTTATATTTTCTTATGGTTATTGCCCAAAACGTTCAATTCCAACCGTAGATATTTAAAATATTCGACCAACTTGAACTCCATCTCTCTTACTATAAAATTATTATGTATATTATTCTTCCGTGACAGTATCATGTACTTTGTTTTTTCTTCATTTATGACTAACCCCATTTGTTTACTTCTATCTATAAGAGCTTCTGCCATATCCTGAAGGTCGCTCTCAGATTCGGACAGTAATACTATATCATCGGCGTATGCTATTTGCTTTGATAGTCTTAGATTCTTGTAGTTTGAATCCTATACCGGTGTTAATGCATTTCTGATTTTTAGTTGTTCCATCGGGAGATATCCATGTCTGTTAATGGATTTGTTTATGCGGAAAAAATTTAATGCTTATGGTCATCCCCTTGGAGTTGCAAAAGATATTACTCGAACTCCGTTGTCGTTCGAGTTATTATGGAGGCTTTGTTGTTCTATTATCGGTTTGTAACCTATTTCTTTCTCAATTTTTGCATTAAAGTCCCCTAGTGCGATTTTGACCATATTTTGAGGTATTGTGTCATATAGTGCTTCTAGTTGTTTATATAAATCATTTTTCGTCTCCTCGTCTTTGTTCTCCGTCGGAGCATATCAGTATTATACTGAACCATTTAGCTTGAATTTCCAAGAGGCATAGCCTATCATTAATTGGCTCTAATCGCTTTATGTTGTTTTTTTAAACTTGGTTTTACTTTGAATTTATGTTTTGAAATATTGATTTAATTACTGTTTAAATAATAATTATTGACTTATTAACTGAAATATCGTTCATCCATATTTGTCATTATCATTTTTTATTTATCATTAATTATGTTTAACGTCCCCTTACAAGCTATTGCTTGTGCCAGTGAGGAAGCAAAACCTACATAGCCCAGTGGAACGGAAGTGAACCCCGGGACCTATGCACCGAGGCTCGAAGTGTTTGTCATCTGAGCTAAGTAGGTCATCTATAATATATATTTTTAATATACATTACAAATATTTGTCCAACAATATGATTGTTTTAACTTGATATCAAGTATTATAATTTTATCAAACCACATTTATTCACAAAGTAGATTTAGTTCTAACATTTAATATATGTTTTAATTTTAAATGAAGTAGTATAATTATGAAAAAATTACTTTTCTTAATAGGTGCTTAAATATAAAGGATAGTTTAGGTATTCTAGTTAATGATTGGTACAAGTGAAAAATTAAAGCTATTGTACTATATGCGAATCAACTTTTGCTGTGAGTAAAAGATTTGCCGCTATTACTCAGTATGTTGCTTCAAATAAATATCAAACAATATCTCTAAATTTCTTCGACCCAACTAAGGCTTAACGTTACAAATGAAGTTATTGACTTTCAAGATAATCGTAAATCGACTACAACGTATCTGCAAATAAATATAATGGTATTTCTGAAGTTTTTCAATCCATGTTTCCTAGAAATTTTTCAGTCGTTTTTCCTCTCTCAAGAACTAAAGTAGGCTATATAAAACTGAAGCTTTTTTAGGCCATATTTCTGCGATGATCTAATTATTAATATTTAAAATTCATTTAACACTTAAATTATTGATAAAACTACTAATGAAAATGAACTTCATATTGTATTAAGTCATTAGACTGATTATAGGTAATTGTCGAATTGTTTGTAAACATTTATTTTAGGACTTGCAACTGGTTAACATATAGTAAACATATTTTATGTCAACTAATTTTTATTTATTTGTTAATTTTTTTTAAACTTTTTAACTAAAGACTAAGAGAGTTTCCATGTTGTAATATGTATTGTACTTATGCAATGTTAAGTGTTTGTTTTATGTTAAGTTTTATTTTCAAGCCAACGGTTAAGACAATATAAAAGTTCTTAAATTTTCTATCTAAATTTAAAAAAAATAAAATTATAGTATCTTATTAAAATAAAACTGTATAGTTATTGACAAAAAAGTAGAATTCTTAGTGCTTTTTCTCTCCCTCACTTCCGATTGTACTTGCACAACGTACTTATGATTTATTAAAATTAATTTTATTAATGGTTTCTATTTCCTTTATTTTAAAATATATTTCTATTTTTATATAAAAGTTTATTTAGTTATTATAAAAGTTATTAGAACCGTTAACAAACTATATTTCAGTTAATGGTAGTGTAACTTAATCTTTATCTTCTTAAATAATTTAAGCTAATTATTTTAAGTTATAAGACATTCAATTAAATAACCACTAATTTTTTTACTCAGATATTAAATTTTCATTCGCGTAGTTTAAACTATGTAGAATAAACAAAATAGGACTTATAAGAAATTTTGAAACATTTTATTTTTAATTTAATAAATTTTATTTATCTAAAATAAGAGGATTAAAAACTTTTTTTCCTAAGCCAACCATATATTTTCAAAATATGAAATTGAGATGATTGATATATTTACAATACAAACTACTATTTTAGAAAAAAAATATAACTGTAAAAAGTCACCGATTCAAACAAGTGTGTAATAAATTATACTATTGATCGTAACATAAAACTTTAAGAAGTTAATGCTTTATTTTTACAGACAACTAAAACAGAAAAGTTCGTACTGTAAATTGTTGTCGGTCGTTTTATGATTTTACTAAACCGTCTCAAGAAAATATTTATACATTATTTAGAGATTGATTTTACGTTCAATTTACATTTATTGATTTTTTTTTTACTTAAATAACTTACTTAAATCATTTTTACTTTGTTCTTGAATGAAAGAACAAGTTAGATTTTCAGTCAATAAAAACTGTTTAATTTTTTTGGAAATTATAAGTATCTATTAATAAAAAAGTAAAAACAAAGTAACTAAATACGATTTTTAATATATTGTAATTTTTATATATATTTAAAATACACTACAGTATATAGCTAAACTAAATAATACCTTTAACTTTATGTACAGTATCTGTGATTTTTCAGTTAATACATTATATTGCACTGTTAAAAAAAAAGAAAAAAGTGCAACAAATTTATACTGCTATTTTTTTTTCTAAAAACTGAGCCAAGTTGAAAAAATCATGATGAACAAAAAAATGTTAATGAAATGATTAAAAAGTTTTCATTGTGTAATAACATTTGAAATTAACTAGGTCAGTTAACGTGAATTCCTTAAAAAACACATTTTATTATGCAAAAATAAAATTGTAATTGTGGAAGACACAATAAATAAATAGCAAGGTCTTCCTCTTGCTAACTCTATTATAAATTCTTTTTTAAAGGAAGTTCACAGGAGTTAAAAATTAAAAAATATCA